GTCAGCCCTTGACCACTGCAGTCTTAACAGTAAATACTCCATCCCTGCCTTCTTTGTGACAGAAGAACTCCACTTCCATGGATATTAATGCCCATTTCCTAGGTTAACTTTCAAGCATGCATCTTTGATACTTTCGAATACCAATCTCAACAGTAACCTGAAACATCCACCAAAGTCCAATATGTTATTCACATAAATTAAACATCTTTCTCATTCTATTATCCAAAGTGTAGGCTTCATCAGCATCATGAAAGTACCAAGTGCATGACACAGGCCAAATAGCATGATACAGAATTCATAAATTATTTCCTGAATGCTGAAAACAAAGTTCATATAGTTATTTTCTAATGCTGAAAGTAGTCTTTGCTCTTCTTTATTCATCTAATTTGACTTACCACTAGCTGGAAGCTAAATCTAGCATGTTTAAACCAAAAAGTTCCCTCCAACACATTCAGATATTTCTTCATATACAATACTAGAAAACTATTGATGCATGTTATGGTGTTCATTTGCCTAGAATCTACACAGAACCCTGGCATCTCTTCATTCTTTCTGACAATCAATCTGGAGATGACCACACGCTCTTTAAAGGTAGTATTATACAACTCTTGAAATATATCTGATTTGGTGACTTCGATTAGAGATCCTGATAAAGCAAGGTCTAAAAATTGGGTGCATCAATATCTACTAGAAACACAATCTTGCATTCATGTATCATTACAAGTTCATACCACATGATGCTAAGATCACAATTATCTAGCCAGCTCCCATAATACTGGGTGCTAGTTAACAGTACATTCATAGATTATGTACTTTTATGATTATTCCCATTATACATAACCAAGAGAGGTAAATCTCCAATTCATACTAACATTCCTACCCCTTGAAATTAGTGTAACCTATTTCAGAAGGATCTCACACATAGGACCAGGGTCAAGCAAGTATAAGCCTTACTGAACAATCACTGTTGTATGTAAAAATTTGTTCTGAATATAGAAGATGTTTGACCTGTAGCCCTCATGTGGTCACACCTCTAAGTTCAGGCATGCATCCACTAATAAATGTTGCCTGTCTGCATGCATACAGAGAGTTCTCATATTGTAAATAAATGCATAAATATTTGAACACGTGTGTTCTGGCATTCATCTGATGAACAAAACCAAGATATTTGTTCTGTTGAGTATCATAAGGTTTCCTGGGGTTTACAGAGTTGTCACCAGATAAGAAAGAATTCCTGCATTTTATGAAGTTTATTAGTTGATATGCAATAATTCCAAAGCTTTATTGATTTGTTATCATATAGATAAGATTTTCTGCACTTTAAAGACATTTCCTGAATGTTACAGAGTTATATGTTACCAGATAGGCAACATTACCTGGTCAATAGAGAGTTGCATGATAGTGAATAATGACACTTCCTGGGTTTTATAGTCATATGTTATTCAATAGATGACATATGCCCTATAGTTTACAGTAGTGCATGATGTTTGATAGAAGGCATTTCCTGGGATTTAAAAGGCTGCATGGCTAATTTTAATAAAGTAAAAATTTATTCAACTTCAATAAACTTTCCAAACAGTTTTGAAATTCACTGTAATTTTTGTGAAAATTTGTTTTGGTAAGTTCTAATGATAAATGTAGTTGACTAGAAAAATGGACTTCTTAATAGCAGTTGGAAATTTTAAATTATGAAAGGCTTGTATCTAGAAAAGGTACAAGATTAGAAAATTTGAACAAAAGTCTTTTGTTCAAATTATCACAATATACATTTCAACCTTTGACCACTTGTAAAGTAGGTGGGCCTTAAAGAAAATTTCATACATTACATTTAAATACTATACAGAAATGAATAAAAAACATATAAACCGAGCACTTTCGAAAGGTGGACGTTTCTTTTTCTTCAGGGGCAAACTGGGAATGGTGGTGTAATT